CTCTGATTTTGTCCTGTCTCTCACTGCCCCTTCTTCTTCTCCACAGGCTGAGACACCACACTGAAGGGAAAAAATGGACAGGGACTGAACTGGGAAGAGACAAAAGTATGTTGAAATTGGCTCTGGCACACCCAGAGATAAGATCACGCCATCAAGAAAAAGACGCAGTTCCATCTGTCGGCGAGCAACCTGCTCACAAACTGGGACAAAGAGCTTCCTTCCAAAGGTTTGATAAAGACTTTCCAAAGCAACCAGGTTCCAAACACAGCACTTCAGGAGAAATGCCCAAATCTTCAGGGTGCTTTACCATGGAACGCACAACACAGTAAAACCAAGTCAGACTCTACATCTATCTACTTCTCTGACGCTACTTACTCCAGCGGGAGCTTGGCGCACGTCTGGCAGAAAGTTCTTGCTGTTACTATTTTTAAAATTAAATGTGTGAATGAAAACTACAACATGATTCACTTTACAGTGTAAGGATTTAGGTGTTACCACTGGAAAAACCTCTTATTTTGTATTCCCAGGATTCATTACATCCTTTAAAAGTGTGCTTACTATTCATGAAGATCATACCTACGCACAGATGATCAAAGAAATTCTGCAATTTCCTTTGACCGCGGCTGTTTTCCCATCTGCCATACTGGGTAGCTGACTCTACCAAAGGTGTCCCTACACCACCCCCAGACATCCCCTTCTTTAGTGCCTGCTGGCTCACAGGTCTCCCTCAGAGCTGGCTGGCCCACTTTTCACTGGATTCCAATACAGCAGCTTTTTAGTTTATAATTTATCTTCCGTGCTTAAATGTTACTCATCCAACTTAAATGTTATAATATAATACAACATAATTTCTTACGAGCAAAGGTGCTCTCATTTATATTAGTGAGTCCATAAAGTTGCTCTATTAATAATAATACCTACATTTTTAAGTAATCTTCCCTGTCAATAACGTTTTCTACTCATTTCAAGGTCTAGAGTTTAGCTTCCTCAGAAGACCTCATTTGGATGACCAAGCACCAAGCACATAATTGCATGGAGTACTGAGTGCTTTTTATGGGTGCTGGGCAGGCAGCCATGCCCCACTAACTATGAACACAGGTGAGGCAGCTTAGCACAGCACCTAGCATATAATAGGCACTCAAAGAAGTTAATGCTCTTTCCCTAACTTCTTTTTCCTCTGTTTATTTTAGATCTTCAGGCTTCGAGAGGCCCTTGCTTCTTATCATTCAGCAAATCTCAATGCTGTTGTAGACTCTTAAGATTTACAACTCAGGCAAGAAATTACACTCTAGGCCAAGATGCACAGCCCATTCAGTTCAGCCTATTCTAAACTCGCTTGGTTTAGAAAATACTGAAATTGTTGCAGAACAAACAGCCCCAATTTATAAACTGCATTCCCAAAGTTCATTTTTAAAGTGGCATAAACATTTTTCCTAAGAAAACATGATGTGATATATAAGATCTCGAGCTGTCCCCACAAACTTATGCCACTATCTACCTAGCTGGCTTAACTAGTGGCAGGAGCCTAGATCCAGCCCACGCCTTGTCCACGGCAGGCTCTGGGATGTGCTGGGCTCAGTTCTGAATTCCTGCAAAGGTGCACCGCTGGCTCCAGAGAAAATGTTGATCCAGCTGAGTTTGTGTATATCTTTCTCCCACCTCGCTGTATGCACCCCTGCCCTCAGCTCATAGGCCTCTCTTCTGCAGGAGACCAGTGCCCTCACCTTGTCCTACAAATCCCAAACTTCAGCATCTTACCAGAGCTCCATCTTTTAATGCTTCAAAGGCAATTGCTTTTTCTCCCTGCAAAAATTACCTCGAGCAGCTAATCTCAGCTGTGCATCAGGAAGAAAACTGATTATTTCACAATGAAATGTGAATGCCTCATGGCCTTTAACCTGTCCAGAGACCGCTGACTCTTAACTGCCCAAACAAATCTAATTTTGAGGAAGGACCATGGAAGGAATGAGATACACCTACGCGACAGACAGATCCCACTAAGGGCCTGTTTCTGAGACATTTCTGCTTCTCAAAAAGCAACTTCCTTCTCTTCCACCACTTGCAAAAGGAACAAATTTTCACAAGTTCCAAAACTTCCAAAAGTTTCCATGACAATGGTAGACATGTGTTTATGGTGATGAACAGAGTGCACACAGGGCCAGTGTAGATGGGTCCTAGCTTCGTCAGTGTTTTTCCCAAAGTGGAATGTAAACCAAAGCATTCACGATTCAACCCAAAACATCCTCAAACTATCATCATTTCCAAATGGAGAAGCAGAAGCTACAGGTAAGATTCAGATGTTGACACTGGGCCAGATTTTCAGTTTTACTCATCCTGGCATGGCCAAAAGAGTACATTAGAGATCACTAAAAGGGGAGGGGAGGAAATGCCACATAGCTCCAATAAACCCTTATGTTTGTGAGGAAGAAAGAACTGGAAGTCACATTAACAAATACCACATAAATACGTACAATTATTATGTGCCAAGTATAAATCTTAAAATTAAAAAAATCGACAAATGTATCCTAAATGAGAACAAGAAAGTAGATATTTTCAGAAAATAGTAAAAACAACAACAAAAATAACACAACTATACAGGATTCTGCATGTATACTTGTTCACTCTTGCTGCCCTGAGGCATTAATTACTTTAAGAACAAAAACAGAAAACACCAAGTTGGCCAGGGAAAGCAAAAACCCTCGATACTTAATTAGAACACGCGCTTGAAGTTGCTGCCTGATATTAGCTTCAAAAGCCCGTAGCCTCATTAAGAAATGGCACAACACCCTTCTGGCAGCAGGCAAAGGCTTCAAATCACGTCAGTGCTGGGGGTCTGAAAGGGGAAATGAAACTGAGTTTACCTACATCAATTAGCAATGCTATTAAGGCTATTTAAGCCGTTCCTCCAACAATATTTCTAATACAAATACGCTGCAGGCCTTCAGAATAAAACAAGCCATTATCCCTACCCGTCATCTTGGCTTTCATTACTCCCACCCCAAAGAGTGACACATCAAACAAACAAAGCACCCTGCCCATGCACTGGGCTTTTCGGCCAAGATCTCCACGCCTCTGACAAGCGCTTATTAATCCTGACAACACCCAATAAAGAAGAGCTGGCCACTCTAATCTTGTGACTCTCCTGGGGGATCAAGGGGAAAGGACTGAGGTAGTGAACTGAGGGACTAACCCAAGGTCATGGATAAGTTGGAAAAGGGAACTCAGGACTTACGGGCTCTTTATCACCTCCTCCACAATTTCTCAGTGAGGCCCCAGTGGCAAATAGCAAGTAACACTCCAGTTTGCTTTAAGAATAAAAGCATCCTGGGGCACAAGGCCAACACTTTTTATAGGCTGTTCTTAGTAGCCAGTGGACTGAGTCCTATTATGATATTTAATTTCAAAACAACCGTAAACAATTATATAAAATGGAAAGTTTATCTATTTATTGCTTAGCCAAGCAACAAACTCTGGACTATGCAATCACCTGACAATTGTATGTGACTGAGGTGGTTGGCAGGAAAACCCACCTAAAGCTACAATTACCTAAGCTTCCTTACTGCCTGGTGGGGGCCCAACTGTCTAGAGTCTGCAGTCTGAAAGGCACATGTTTGTCTTAGACATGATGACAATGATAAGAAAGAAAAGCAATTATAATACAAGCTTAACGTGACTCTCAAGACCCAGTTACGTGATTTTCGAAAGCATTCTTGGGGAGGATAAAATGAAACCCTAATAGTCAGCGCCTAATACAGTATCTTATTCTTAAAGTTACTAAAATTCTCATTGAATACATAAAAGAAAAAGTAAAAAACAGAGAGTTAAAAAGGACAAGAAGATGAACATAACTTCTTTATACCAGGTCTCTGAGAGAATGCTATACCTAATATTGTAACGAAAACTAAAGATCAGCCTTCTGTTAACAACTGTCTGAAAAATGACCTATGTTTCTATTGAGTTTTGTGGGTTTTTTTCTCTTTTTCTTTTTTTTTGGGACAGGGTCTCACTCTGTTGCCTAGGCTGGAGAGCAGTGGCGTGATCTCAGCTCACTGTAACCCCCGCCTCCCGGGTTCAAGATTCTCCTGCCTCAATCTCCAGAGTAGCTGGGATTAGAGGCGTATGCCACCATGCCTGGCAACTTTTTGTAGTTTTAGTAGAGACAGTGTTTCACCATGTTGGCCAGTTTCACCAAATTCTTGGCCTCAAGTGATCCACCCGCCGCAGCCTCCCAAAGTGCTGGGATTACAGGTGTGAACCACCACTTCTGGCCTCTATTCAGTTTCTTGAGTTCCCAGTTTTTAAAGTAATCCAAAGAAAGAAATACAGGAACTCTAATAATTGAGTGAAGAGAAGGATCACACTCACAGGGAAGAAGGCAGAGGAAAGGCAGAAGGGACTTAAGAATATGATGAATTTTTCTTAAAGGGCACAAAAAGTCTCATTAGAGTCACCCAGATGCAGTAATTCTAGCCAATTAGAGTTACTCCATCTGAATTGGAGGCAATTCTTCAACGGGAAAAGCACAAGACAGAAGAATCTTAACACGGAATCATATTTATAAGGTGATGATATGAAACAGAGTACTACTAATAATCACTTATATTTAAGAGCCTTTCTCAAAGACACTCCAACAGTTTGATGGGCATTGTTTCATTACTCCTTACACTTCCTTGAATAGAGGGAGGAGACAGAAAGCACCTCCACTGTGCAAATGAGGAAATGAGGCAAAGTGAATGGGGAGTCAGACTCAAGGCTGAACAGGCAGGAGTGGCAGACTGCAACTTAATCGCAATGTTTCACACAGTGGACTCCAAGCAAAGGATGGCAACAAAAATGATCTGTTTTGGAGGAGGGGAGAATAGAAAGGGGAGAGGATAGTTTCATAACACCTGAGAATGAAAACACATAAAACTGTGGAAAAAAAAAATCAGTTGTCAAATCATTAAACTCCTCCCATTCTCAAATGGCTGGACATAAGGCGCCCAGACCTCACCACCCACCTTTGCTTCATCGTTGATGTCCCACGTGAAGGAAATGGCGTTATATGCAATCTCCTCGATGTTACTGATAGTGTTGAAGCTTTCTTTATAGTCAGCTATAGGAAGCAGGGGAAGAGAAAATGAAAACTCATGAGTTTCAGTTTCAACATGGGATCCCAGCAGTTCAAAATAAGATCTATTTTTTAACATTATCACCTATGGACAACTTAACATTTTGTTTGGTTAGAAGAAGTTCAAAATATGAAGAAAAAGCATCACAGAGTTTTTGTAATAGAGGCAAGCTTAGACATATTTAATTCAATCTCATTATGTCACGATTAGGAAATTTAGGTCTAAAAAGTTTAAATAACAGTCCCAAGGTCACAAAACTACTCTGTAGAACCAAGATTAGAACTGAGTTCTCATTCTCCTGAAAAGGCAACAAGAGCATTACAAAAGGTAAAGGAAAAAAGTAACACTAATATTAACAGCCATCTGTGACACAGACAATGGTTTTACATGAAAATAACATACATGGCAAGGATAGAGGTCTGTGTAACGCTACTTCAGTAAATACGAACTTGCACAGGTTTGCCACTACAGCTCACAGATAGGTTAGTTACACAGTTTAGCATATCTAGGGAAGACTGTTAGGCAACCGCACAGCAGCAGTATCTTTTTTTATTTATTTTCTTTTACTTGCTTTTTTTCTCTATCTCCATCATGTCCAAATAATAATCAGAATCTATTAAAGAAGATATTACCCCTTAAAGCAATTGCAGACTGAAAAGTGGGGACATTCTCAGGTTAGCCAGCTACATGGCTTCTGGCCCTAGTGTCCTGTGGAAAGCCACCACGTGGGCACATGTCCCATTACTGCATGGGAGGAATGGTGAGTGCACTGGTTCCAGGAGGCCGAGGACAGTGTTTGGAACAGATCAGTAGCTGGCATAAAAATTCAAATGCTTTCGGCAGGAAGCTGATCACTGCCAAAAATAACTGGATTTAGAAACTGGATGGCTGTACCTCTGGGAATAAGAGCGGGCTCTTGAGCTGCTTACCTATGTCAATGCATCTTTGTTTAGCAGTGTGCTGCCGGGAGTGCCAGTACTTCCAATGCCTTAACTGATCTTCTCTGCTTTTGTCTTCAGCAAAAACCACCATGATCACACTCTGTGAAAGAGAATGCATTACAACATAAAGACACTGAAGGGTGAGTATGTCTTGGAAAACGTATTTAATATTATATTTTACAGTGAAGGCTTAAAGCTGCAATTTCAGGCGGTCATTCAGAGCTGCTTCAGACCTGGAAATGTTAGACTCTGACTAGCTTTCCTAGAGAACAGGACTAAGATCAGAACTTACTCGAACTTTGCTGATGGGATGATGGATTCCTTCATTGCTGCTCACCTCCTTTAAGGTGATAGGATAGAACTGGCCTTTGTTCAGGTATGTCATGGTACTATCTCCCGGCTTCTGTCGAAGTGATTTTGAAGCTTCTAGGGTATATTCAAAGTTGTTCCTAAAGGACAAAAAAAGTCACAGGTCTCTAAATCTACTCTCGTGGAAGTTTGCTATACATCATATTACAAATAACGTTTGCTATCTTTTTCATGATAAAGAAAATCTGAAACAAAAGTACTCAGCAGCTGAAAATTCTCAAGTCTCTCAGATGTGGAAGTACAAATTGTTGCCGATTAAAAATTCTATGATGTGATGGATGTTAGCAATCGGACATCCTGAGTTTGAGGGCTCGAGATATTAAAGATACTAATAGGTGGAAAGGACTTTGGAAGGAACTTCTCACAAGACATGCTGCCAATCTGGTATTTCTCCAGCAGAGGTTTCAGACAGGTGGCTGGTGTTCCTTTGACTAAATTCCTTTTGGCCTATATAGCACTTTTTTGTTGTTTCTACTTGTAATTTAAATGTCTTTAATAGCAGGCACTCCTCAATTCTCGACATTACCTATTACCTAACACTACCACTCATATGTGCCCCTAAAGTTATTTAAGAACCTTACCAGGCCACGGCTCAGCAGATTACACCTATTTTTGTAACTAAAGTTTTATTAGCACATAGCCACATCATTTGTTTACATATTACCTATGGCTGCTTTTGCACAGCAGCAGACCAGGGTAGTTGCGAAAACATACAGAGGTTGTATGGCCCACAAAGCCTGAAATATTTACTCTCTGACTCTTTACAGAAAAAGTTAGCTGACCCCTATCCCAAACCCTAAAGGCATTTCCGTTTGGGACTCCTGCATCTTGAGGCAGATCTCTAAGGGAAGTCTCAATTCCCATAAAATCTTAGACACTTTTAAAACCATAAAATATAACACATGTAAAAAACACATAAAACAAAATATGAGTTCCTAATTAACTTGGAAAATATTCATATTGCCAGAGATACGATTTTGTGAGGTCAAAAGAAAGTTGTCAGCTCAGAAAAAAGTTGACTTCATTTATTTTATCGTTAGTGAGGCTGATTAAAAAAAACAAGCTTTTATCACTTTTTTATCACTTGATATTCTTCCTAAATTCTCACCTAATTATATATTTTTGGCAACAGAAAGGACCTCAGAGACCTAATTTAATCCCGTCATCTCTCCTATTAGATTCCATTCTACTACCATCACATAAAGAAACCAAAAGAAAGAAAAAGCACCAACACCAAGAATTAAGGAAACTTGAAATATAGTTTAAAGAATTCAAAATTAAAAGCACTGAAGCAGATGTCCTCTACCCAAGACTATACCACAGTAAAAGTAGTAAGATAAGGGGAAAGCCTGCTAAAGCCACCTTTGATTTATTAAGTTAACGTGAAAGGAGTAAGTTATAAAAGCTGCAAATTAAAAATCAAATTAAAAGACATCTATTACCCAGAAACACTGTCAAAAACATAGTCCTCTGAATTCATGCCAGGCATCCGCAGACTGAGATCCGAGGGGAAGAAAACCTGAAATATCAATGTGATAAGCCACAACTATTTAACTGGTTATCATGGTTACTAAAGACCAAGCTCTGGTACCGCATAAAAGTATGTGGCTTACAGCAACCCACTATCCTTTCCATATTTATTTTTGAATAAAAATTTTGAAGCTACAAATATTAAAAAAATTAAAACAGAGAAAATATCCACTTTTATATGCCACTCAAGTAAATGACAACAAGCTGTGTAGGTATCCCCACTAAGTGCTTCTGACTCACGACCCCCTTTTCTGTCTTTCACACACATCCCAACTCTGTTCAAACACTAGGATCTGCAACCAAAATGTCATGACTTTAAAGAGTCACCCTATCATTATATCAAGTTAAGACGCAGCATCAAGTTCACACCACAGCTGAAGAGACGTGGTGCATTTTCTTGGGAAAGGCTAACATTCTGCCCCAACTCCACATGCAGAGATGGATGCTCTTTACCTCATCGAGTCATTAAGTATGGTTTCTAACACCTTCAGTCCCTAACTTTTAGCTGAGTGAGGTATTCATCACCATAGAACCCCCAGAACTATTTGGAATTAATCTGTAAACTTCACACAATGCATTTGAGCTCTCCCTGACTGTATTACCAACCAAGAAACATCAAGCAAAGACATAATAACTCATTTTATATTAAGACCAGTTCCAGGGAGCTTGTTTGGCGCTGGGAGAAGTGCTGAAAACAGACTATGAGAATCTACCTGTGGTCAACAGAAGATTATGTATGGGGTTCTCTTTCTCTTTCTCCAGCAAATCACTTAGCTGAAATCATAATTGTTAACTCAGCTGCTGGTAAGATTAGCCATGCACCCTTGATAACAACTTCTGGTTTTATAGGTTTAGCTTCCAAATTATACCCATCGGCCTTTTCTCTTAAAAAAAAAAAAAAAATCTTTTATTCCTAATCCATTCATTTCAGGCCGAGTTTCACGCTTATATAACAAGGAAAAGGTGGAACCCAATACTTATACAAACACACAGGCGTCTTAGGAAGATGTTTGTTTCCTGTACCTCCTGAACGCCTTCCTTGAAGGTCTCTGAGAAGGTCGAGTCTGGAGTTCGCCTTTGAGCATTTGGGGCTTGAGCACCAGAGCTGAACTGGTCAGTACTGAGATTCCGATCGAAAACCACCACCCGCTCAGTGGGCTCAGGATGATACACTGCTGGGGGGATTCCCACAGCAAAGCCATGCGGCTGGGTTTCTGTCTTGATGGAGTGGGTAGGCATCGTTGCTATGGAGACAGTGACTGTTGTATCTGGAGCTGTCAGATGGCCTCTCTTATCAATGCCCAGCTGGTTGCCATGGGGAAGGACAATGTTAAACGGCACATTTTTCAGTACTTGCACTCTGTTTTCTCCAGCAGAAATGAGGGGCTGCTCTGTCACAATTGGTATGCTGTTTCTTTAAGAAAAGAAAACTGCTTTCAAACTCGATGTTGATGTGGTTCTTTGACAATTTTTATTTTCCTAATGGCACTGGGCTATTGGGTCCTGTGCAATAACAATACACTTGACAGGGAATAAACAGAAAACATCAAAACTACCCATTACTAGATAAAGGGGAAAAGGCTTTCTGGTTATCGGTCAAATAAAATCCAACATATTAAGTAAAATTTCATTTGAAATACTAAGTACTCAGAGCTCTCCTCTAACAAGCTTTACTTTCCATAATCCTAAAAAAAAAATTACTATGTTTTACTAGAAATCTGAAGCTATGTGATCTGATCAACTGGGGTTACAGCATAGACGCCAGGGTCAAATTGCCTGGGTTCAAGTTCTGTGTCACCTGAGCAAGTTACTTCATCTTTTAGTAACTGAATCCTCATCTGTAAAATGGGGACAATAATGGCGTGCATTCTCATCAGGTTGAGATGAGATGATACACTAAAATGTGTATAATAAGGCCTGACACACAGTCTTCAAGAAGTATGAGCCATTATTACTTGTGGTCACCACTTTTCCAACCACCTATGATATTTGGCTTTCTCCTTATTTTTTTTTCTTTCTTTTTGAAACAGAGTCTTGCCCTTGTGGCCCAGGCTGGTGTGCAATGGCATGATTTTGGCTCACTACAACCTCCACCTCCCAGGTTCAAGCAGTTCTTCTGCCTCAGCCTCGCAAGTAGCTGGGATTACAGGCACGTGCCACCACATTCGGCTCATTTTTGTATTTTTAGTAGAGACTAGGTTTCACCATGTTGGCCAGGCTAGTCTCGAACTCCTGACCTAAGGTGATCCACCTGCCTCAGCCTCCCAAAGTGCTGGGATTATAGGCGTGAGCCACCGCACCCGGCCTGGCTTTCTCTTTCACCCAAGAAAACCTATTGTTACATTATATCAGTAGACACATCTGCTTTTTACAAAATTAAATTTTGGTTTGATAAATAATTTGAGCAATACAAGATGATTTCCAGTGGGTAAAATGAATGAATTTTCAAAGCCCCCAGAAATCTTACAGGCTGAAGCTTTAAGAAACAGGCAAATGGGGAATTCTGTACATTTCAAGATCAATAAAACTGTTTGAACCCTGAACCATAAATTCACTCCCAGGAATTTATCCTAAAACGGAAAAAAATCTAGAAAGTTGCTCCTTAAGGCTTCAAAATAGTGAAAACTAGGTTTAGCGGCAATTATAAGGATATTTAGAGTTTGCTTCAGAATGTTCCAGCAAAAATAAATAAAATAAAAACATGAATTAATCTCAAAGTTGAAGAAGAGGGAAGAATACATCAAACGAGGAATTGTGTTGATAACTGTTGAAGCTGGTCAAGGATACACGTGGGCTTATACTATTTCTCTATTTTTATTATGTTCGAAAATGCCCATAATGAAAAGTTAAAAAGCCACAAGTCCTCTTCCAAAGGATAATTATGAAGATTAAAACACAGAGAAAATGTTTATGAAACAAACTAAGAAGAAGAAAGTATACCACCAAATCCTATCTGTGAACAAAACCACAGGTACATAAAATTTGCATGCACACCAAAACAAAGAATAAAGCAATCATCAGGATAATGGGATACTGGGTGATGATCATTCTTCCTTTAAATAGGTTTTATTCCTTGATTGATAATAAAACACAGGGCAATTTAAAAGGTGTCTTTTTAAAGTTTTTCATGGCTACAAAGACAAACGTTAATTAAATTTCCTGAAAGTTTTAATCTAAAATATTTCACAAATAATTTCAACAGGAATTTGAATACAATTTAACTTGCTTTATTCAATTTTACTTAGGCAGCTGTTCAAGAGTCAATTGGTATTTAATTTTTTTAATGGACCACTGCCACATCTCCTAAAGAAAACCTCAAAAACAAATAAACAAATACTTAAGTTATTACTAAAACTATCCCTTTGGAAGAGGAGAAAGTTAGTGCTTTCATCCCAGAAAAGGCAACTACTGTGCCCAAAGAAAAAAGGAACTTTTCAGAGCAACAGAGGCAAATCAGTGATGAAATCTGAATTTAGATAGTAAGAGTCCAGCTTACCTATCCCTTCTACTAGTTGTTGTTCATTTAAACAAACTCCCATTTTGCTGTTACAGAAACGTGGCATTTCCCCCTGCACTCTTTATGCTGTTTATGCACTGAATGTTACCTTTTGCTGTGATCTGGTTCGGGGTGCTCCACCTCTGGCTTTGCTGTTGATGACCTTCTCTCTCTTGGAACCTGATATTAGCACACATGAAAATAATTTAGCTCTTACTCAGTGAAGTGCAGTTTACCCAAAGATACAGCCTTTTATTTTTCAGTAAATTCAATCATTCACTTATCTACTGGTTGCCTAACAAACACCAGGCTATGGGGACACACGAAGAAAAAGACAGTATCTGCCCTCAATGAGCTTAAAATCTAGTCACCCATCTGGTTGATATGTAAAAAGTAACTGTTATTGAGTTGCCAAATAAACTCAGGGCATGATACATTTATTCTGTCATGGAGTTTGGGTCTCATCTCTTAAAAGAAATACCTCCACTGGCCGAAGCTGGTGGCTCATGTCTATAATCCCAGCCACTTCGGGAGGCCAAGGTGGGAGGACTGTTTGAGCCCGGGAGTTTGAGACCAGCCTGGGTAATATAGTGAAACTCATTTCTACAAAAAAAAAAAAATTAAAAATTAGCCAGGCGTGGTGGCATGTGCCTACAGTCTCAGCTACACAAGAGAGTCTGTGGTGAGGAGATCGCTTCAGCCCGGAGGCAGAGGTTACAGAGAGCAGAGATTGCGCCACTGCACTCCGGCCTGGGTGACAGAGCAAGACCCTTCCTGACTCAAAAACAAAAAGAAAAAAAGAAATACCTCTGCCCTGGTTTTACTGGTTCATCTATACAACATTAGAGAAGAAGCTACTGAAAACACAACAGAGCTCTTCCAACTTTCTCAGTGCTCTTTCCTACTACTCTCCATTCAGATCAAATGCAAAAGCAGAAGGAATAGCCATGTTAACCGTTCATTTCTTCTAAGATCCAAATGAGGGCTTCATATGATCAATGTCTTCAGATATGCTGGGATTCATACATCCATCACCCAAAGGACAAGTCTAACTCAGTGTTCTGTTCCTTTTTTGGTTCTTTTCTTTGCAAGGGAAGTGAAAAGTAGGCAAACGTTAGTGTCCTGTAGAAATAACTCAACTGAGATTTTACACCATTGCACGCTAAGGTGTAATGGCTAAGGTGCTTAAAAATGGCTTTCAGCATGAAAATTCTATTCCTGTATCCTTGCTTTCACCATTAAAGACAAAACACTGCTGGCCAGGCGCGGTGGCTCACACATGTAATCCTAGCACTTTGGGAGGCCGAGGCGGGCGGATCACGAGGTCAAGGGATCAAGACCATCCTGGCCAACACGGTGAAACCCCATCTCTACTAAAAATACAAAAAATTAGCCGGGCGTGGTGGCGCACGCCTGTAGTCCCAGCTACAGCCTCCTGTAGGCAGGAGGCTGAGGCAAGAGAATCACTTGAACCCAGGAGGCAGAGGTTGCAGTGAGTTGAGATTATGCCACTGTACTCCAGCCTGGGCGACAGAGCGAGACTCCATATAAAACAAAAAACAAAAAACAAAAAAAAAACAACCAAACAAAAAACAAACAAAAAAACCACTGCTTCATGTATTAACAATATGCTTTTCAAGCTTTATCAAAATTATCATGTAATAATGACTGATGCTTACAACCAAAAACCTGAAACAAACAATTCAGTTTATTTAAAAAAGAAAATAGGCCAGGCACAGTGGCTCACGTCTGTAATCCTAACACTTTGGGAGGCTAAGGCAGGAAGATTACCTGAGGCCAGGAATTTGAGACCAGCCTGGGCAACATAGTGAGACTCTGTCTCTACAAAAAATTTTAAAATTAGCCAGGCATGACCTGTAGTCCTAGTTACTCAAGAAGCTGAGGCAGGAGAATCACTCAACCTCAGGAGGTTGAGGTTGCAGCGAGCTATGACAGCACTATTACACTCCAGCCTGAGTAAAAGTGAGACTCTGCTGCTAAAAATACTACTACTACTAAATGAAAAATTAAAAAGAAGAAGAGGAGAAAATAAATTTACACCTATCACAAGAAGTCTGACAAATAAGTACCACTAAAATTGTCACCCTTCCCAGACAGATGTGAGGATTTATTTGCTTATGAGACACAGGAGTAGTATACCTAGTGTTATTACACTGGTCTTTCTGGCACGAAACTTGTACCAACAAGTTTCTCCCATTCTCAAAAGTTTCAGTTAAAAATGTGTAACTTCATAATAAATGTTTTAGAAACTTAATTTATAGTAAGTCAATAAAACAAGCTATAAGAACAGATATATAATAATTTCCATTTCAAAGGAACTCTTCATGGCTATGTTTCCCTGGTAAGGGTTTCTTCTAGCATCATTAGTTATTACACAAGTTTCTGTTCATATTCAAAGAAAAAAGAGCTTACCTCAATCCCTAGCTCCAACTTAGTTAGACACATGGCCCCATACTAGGAAATAATCACCCTAATTTTTTTTTTTTTTTTTTTGAGATAGGATCTGTCTCTGTCACCCAGGCTGGAGTGTAGGGATATGGCATGATCTCAGCTCACTGTAGCCTCCAACTCCCAGGCTTAAGTGATCCTCCCACCTCAGTCTCCTAAGTAGCTGAGACTACAGGCATGCGTGTATTAACCAGCGAATTTCTGTATTTATTTATTTATTTATTTTTGGGTAGAGACAGGGTCTCGTCATGTTGCTCAGGCTAATCACCCTAATTTTAATAATAAAACTATCTCCTAGGCTTCTTTCACCCCTGTATTTCTTACATTAAGGAAAGAATACAGTGCCAGAATGTAGCCAATGGCCAGCAACTGGCGAGTCTGGGTAAAGGTACTCGAGAATTAATTATCCTCTTAAGTTTTATGTAGGTTTGAAAGTTTTTAAAACAAAAATATAGCAAAAATAAACTGTAAAAAATATACACTATATTCATGAGAAGACGCTTGTCATTCAGAAACTTCTGGTAATCCCAAACAGATCCTGTTTTCATACAGGTACTGATGACAACACAATGATTACACAAGTTAGTCACACAGAGTGACAATGAGACAAACGCCCCATGGCAAAGCTGTGCTTCAACGTAGTCTGCTGTTTTAAGTAGCACCCTAAAGACGTAGCCACCCCCAAATGTGTGTTCCTGGTCAGAAGGAAGAATGGACAGGTGAATCCAGAAGGAAAGCAGTATGCACCCTGCATTAGAAAGACAGTGGCCTCGGCCATGAACCAGACTAGGGCCCCAGATGCACACATCCTAGCTATGACCTCTGACTGTGAAGTCGCACACAGGCTGGTAACATGTCTAGCGTAACAGTGACAGCTAGTGTTATCAGGACAATGATGATGATGACACAGATCAGTAGTGTCATTTCCAGATAATGAAAACCATGTAAAATTCCATGCAGCGTATAGATTATATTTAATTAAGACTACTCCAAATCTCTAGAAACAGGCAACAAAACATATCCTGATCTTGGAACTAGACAGTCCTAGACTAGAGAATATAGTTTCAAAGGCTCTATAGTATCATTTCGGGAAAGGAAATCATCTTGACTACACAGGAATAAATGTGAAAGGTAAATGAGCCCTGCCCACTTTCCATGGCACTAAGAACCACCTTCAGTGAGATGCTCAAACCCAAGAAGGCACATCTAGCATCCTCTTTTATGGTGGTTTCACCTTCTGGATACAGCCACAGCAGCTGACTGCTTTGCATGTTTTAAAAGCAACCCTTTGATTCTACAATCACAGATTTTTAGCTTTGAACCACAGTAAGTCAAAGTACTCATTAAACTATTTATAGTCACTACAGAAGCAACTTGCATGGCATTCTACCAGCAAATGACTGTTTTATATGCTGCTGAATCAAGTGCATTGGAGACTGCTGTTAAGGGTTTTAAAGGCAGGCAAACCCACCTTGTAGTAGTCATAGAGCAGGCCCAGCGCAGCAGCGCTGTCTTCGTCTCCATTGATGCTCATCATCGCTTTGGTGGCTGCAGTGAGAGGGTTTTCCAGGAAGGATTTCCAGGCCTCATCCTCACTAGTGTAGGACCGCCGCTGTGGATAAAGTGCTTCATTCTGAAGAACCAACACTGGCCGTTTGCTTCAGAGAAATTAAAAAAACAAAAACAAAAAAACACATACTTTTCTACTGCAAGGCATCATAAGCTACCAATTCCTTGACATTCCTATAAAACAGCCTATTGTTTCATCAACGACCCTAGGAAGTTAAATTAAGACAAGACCAGAAGACAAACCACCTAAGTGCAGACCAGTGGGTCCCACAGTAAGACATAAAGTGTCTAGGCAGCCAGAGAACTGGCAGTTCACTTACACATGGAACCCAGGATACACAATTTGGCAAAAAAGCAAAACAAAACCATCCCTGAGAAAATGCCACGCTATTCAAATACTTTCCATAAACAAACAGGAGGACACAGTAAGGAAAAGAGAATATCTGTTCTCTTCCAACAACAATCAGGACGGTCCCCTCTTGAGAAGAGCGTGTGCCGTTCATCACACTGCTACGTTATTCCCTCTTTCTACTGTGGCTGCCATGCCTTAAAACTTCCTACCTGAACACAGTGAGGAGGGGAGAAGCAGCAGAAAGAAAAAGGGATACTTCACGCAATCCTCGGGGGTATATGAGAAAGCCAGAATCTTCTACTGATTACCAGCAGATTGAGCATGGAATGTGGCCAAAGGGGACTGTAAATCAATAAAGAGGCATAATTTTCTGGCATGGGAGTTAACTGTTTATCTTAGAGATAAACACTTAAGAATCTCCAACAATAAATGAAGCCACTGAACAAAAAGATTTTTAAAAAAATAGGTGGGAAAATCTGGCTTTTAAAAAGTCTTTACTAGTTTTCCACACTGCACAAGAACTGTTTCATTTTAACACTGTAGTTTGGTGGGAAAAATCCAAAAAAATCAATGGTGATCTTAGTGAAACCTTATAGAAGATTTAATTTAAAAGATTAAAGCAAACATTACTAATTCCAAAAACCTGAAATGTAAACAGTCTCAACAATTGTTCAGTCGGTACTATTTAATAAGTCAATAAAGAGAAAAAATGGAACACTGACTCTAGCAAAACAAAGCAGTTTATTTTCAAGGAGAAAAATAAATTTTAAATGTTTGGAACTCCTCTGAATCATTACTATTCTAACAGGCAAATTGAAGGACTGGCTCTCATTGCAACACACAAATGAAATATGTAAATGGCCTAAAGGTGACCTACCTATTTTAAAAGTGAATGTAGAAAGACTGATTATCTTTTCAAGTAATCAACAAAGGTTAGGGTTTGGGAATCACCCAAGGCCTTTAAAAACAGATAGATTTAGAAAAAGGAGAACATCTTCAAAAAAGGGGGAAAAATCCAACAATGTGTCCTCAGTCAAAATGAAGTGTTATTTGAAAGCCAATGTTTTTACTTACTCATGGCATAAATCTTACATTTGGTAAGGAAGTCTTGAGGTGGTATACTATTTTAACACAAAACAAACATAAAAGGCTGTTCAAAGCGAGCAGATCATTTGTCTAAAAATGGAGATTGCTTACGCAAATCTCAACTTTTAAGAAAATAAAGAAATATACAAAGTGGCATTCCCTGAGCCATCAGTACCAGAGTACAACAGCTACTGAACGGGTGGTGCCATGGACTGATTTACTGGTGTATTGCTAAGCTATAATTAATAGCGTAATAGCTACCTCCAGAAGACTATGACAGCACTTGGCTGTTCAATTCCCTTAATGCTAGTTTTCAACTTCCTCCTTCTCCCACCCACATCCCAAATTTGTACAAGCAATAGAAAATAGAGAAATGGCTTTATGTTTGGAATCACCCTGAAGCTGTTTCATATTTCCAAAGCCTGCCTAAGGCCAAAATGTTAGCTTTGGAAATTTTGCCTTATCTAAACTATACGTCAAGAAATAAACACAAAACCAGTTGCCTTTGTCTACTTCCTCATGACAGTCAGGAAGGAGGCTTCAGTCGCTGAAGGCTCATCATTACTTTCAGGTGAGCCTTAAACCTTGCGTCAGCAATCTCTCAGACTTCTGAAATATGTTTCAGGCAATAATTTAACTGCATATTCTACAACACAAGAGTAATCCATTTAAGATACTGCATACAAAATATCTATCTCATCCAGAAAAAGAACACACTGACAAAAACCGATCCTTCACAAATAACTAACAAACTGGCAGGGGAACCTATCTGCCTTAAACTTACTGATCTGAAATATACTGACTGACTTGGTGCGATTTCCCTTTTTTTTCCCTTTAGTAAGTTTTTAAAAAATTTTAGAACAATTTTATATTTTCAGAAAAGCTGCAAATACAGAAATATCCCTCGCCCAGTTAATCCCCCATGCTTTATTACATTACCACCTTATATTTGTCGAAATATGCTTTTAAATCACAAACTCTAAAAGGCATATTAGCTTGTACAGTACTTTCTCGTTTAACACCCGGATTTCAAAGTTTCATCCTCCTGATTCTCTCGAGCACTAAAAACACGGTAATCTGTAATTACCATCAATGATGCAAGTGGCAAAATAACTCCTACAGCCGTTTTCCCACTCATACCGCCAGCCAGTGAAAAGTAAACGCCTCGACATCGGGGCACTTCAACCTTCCCCTACATTTCTGTTTTGGAAGTTCCAGCAGGTCGCCGAGTGACGAGCCTGACACCACAGATTACCTGGAGAAGTCCACCTGTCCCGACGCAGCGAGCTCCCCACCGGGCTCCCGAGGCCGACCGGGCAGGAGACTGGGGCGGGGAGGCCCGGGGGCGTTGGCGGCGCCCCGACCTCGCGCCGCACCTGACCGCGCCGGGGACCCCGAGCCCAAGGTGCGCGCCCGAGTGGGCCCCACCTGGCCGGGGAGAAGGCGAGGAGGGCGGCCCCTCCGGTGTCGAGTTTCCCCGAGGACGGGGTCTCTCCTCCCGAGGCTCCGACCGAACAAAGAGCCGGGCAGGGCTAAGGGGCAGAGGCCGTGGCGGCGTGGAGTGGACAGCGGCCCCCGGCCCCCGGCCCGTGCCTGGCGCCCGCCCGCCCGCGAGGCCTCAGGTCTGCGCCCGGCTCGCTCGCTGCAGGTGCGGCCCCTCAGCGCGGCCCCCCCGCGGCGGCCGGACTCCCGCGCCTCACTCACTTGTCGTACTCCTGTGTCATCGCGCCCGCTCGCCGCTGCCGGGCCGCAGAACTGGACTTTCGGGTTGGGACAGTACACCCGATCCGGGGGGAGGAGGCGGCGGTGGCTGCGGGTCCGGAGCGGCGGCCCCGACGGGTTGGGTTCGCTTTTCTCGCTCTGAGCCGGCTCCGCGCGGGCTGCGCGCACTGGGCGCCGGGCTCGGCCGCTCATTGGCTGGCGATGCGCCGGCTGGGGGTGGGGCCTCGGGGCTGGGAGGCCGGCCGCGCCTCCTGATTGGTCAGAGGGGGGGCGCTGGGGCGGGGCTGACGGGGTCGAGCGGCGCGGGCTGGGGGCAAGGGCCGCGCGTTCCGCGAGGTTGCGCCCAGGACTGCGCGCCCGGCTCGCGGTCTTACGCGCCTGCCCTGACTGGAGAGGGAGCGCGGCGGCTGTGGCGCGCACCCGCCGACCTCCGCGCGCACCGAGAGCGCTCCCGCTCGCGCCGGGCCGCCGCCCCCGGCGTCCCCGGCCATCCCCTCCGCGACGAGCCTGGGCCGTGGAGCCGCCTCCTTCTTCGCTCACTCAGGCCTCCGCACCCCGTGCCCACGTTGCCCGCTGTTCCGGCCCCAGCGCCCCGCGCTGCCACTGCGCTTGCCCGGCCGAGGCGCTTCTGCCGGTCCCCGCGCTCCCCGGTCGCGCGTCTCACCTCTCGGTTCTCGCAGGCTGTCACCCCCGGGTCCCGTGGCTTCCCCCGAGAGCCGTCTCCAGAATGTCCCTTCTCCTGGCCCACCGCGGCCGCGCGCTTTTAGCATTTCTTGCCCTCGCGGCTCCCGCGGTCCCCTCGGCGGCAGGCCCTGGGGCTCCGCGATGTCTCTGCCCGGGGCGCCACTTCCCCGCGCGGCCGCCCCACGCTGCCCGTACAGTCGCGCGCCCCGGGCCGGCCCCGGGTACCACTCCACTGCGACAGCCCCCACCTGTCCTTCCCGACCTGCCGTCTTTCCCAGGGTCTGCCCACTGAGTCCCCACATGCCCAGCGTCGGACCTGACACTAGGGCAGGCGCGGCCCCAGACGCCGGAGACAGGGCAGTCAATAGAACAAACACAACTCCTCGCCTTCCTAGTTGGGGTAACGGGCAATGCAAAAATAAGTAAATGGTGTGGCTGGTTGAAAGGTAAAGCAGGCAGGCCCTGGGGAGGCGGGGAGGAGCCAGGCTTGAAGGAGATGAGGGGCCACGAAGGTGGGGCTGTGCCTGAGGCAAGGACCCTGGTGTGTTCAGTGACCCGTGAAGGGACCCAGGTGGCTGGAGGCACACAGGGAGCCGGGAGCTGCGGTCAGAGATAGTGGTCGCAGGGGAGCGGATTGAGCAGGGCCTTGCCGGCTTCCGTAAGGACTGTGGCTTTTCTCTGGGCGAGGTGGGGACGCATTGGAGGGGCTTGTAGCGGGGAAGTGACAGGATCTCACATTTAAAAATAGTTCTTTGCTGCTGCGTGGTGGGGACCAGGTAGGAGGCCACTGCCATGATAGAGTGAGGTGGTGGGAAGTGGCCGAATTCTGGATATGCTTTGAAGGTGGGACCAACAGGATTGTCTGAAAATTGGATATGGGGTGTGAGAGGAGGAGGGAATCGAGGATGATTACAGGGTTTCCAGCTGGGCAACTGGAGGAATGATTTGCCATCCCCTGGGATACGGAAGACCTAGGGCATAGAAGATTTGGGGAAGAACAAGAGTCCATTCTGGACGTGCTAAGCTCAAGATGTATGGGAGATCCAAATCCATGTATCAGGTGGGCTCCTGAGTACGAGGCTGGAGTGCAGGGGAGAAGTCTGGGCTGAAGCTCACATCTGGGCGCCGCCCACATCTAGAGGCCATTTAAAGCCATGAGAAGGCAGGGAGGAAAGAGGATGGGACCCATGCTGGATCCAGGAGCCTCCGACACAGAAAGGCTGGGAAGAAGAGCCAGTGGAGGAGATAGAAGACAGGGACACCGAGGTCGGAAGCAATGGAAGCATGGAAGCCAAGGGAAGGTGGTGAAGTGAAGAGCAGCATGAGGTCATAGGGCCCTCCTGCAGCCAGCAGCCCCCTCCTCTGTGCCCTGGTCCTAGGCCTTCAGGGACCCGAATGGGCAGCCTCATTTGAGGCCACCCTTCGCAGTTTCTGTCCTCTGACCCTGGTCCCAGCACTGGATCCATGCAGCCTGTTGTTTGCTCTTATCACTAGTTTCCTGTTTAAATCAATTATCTTCTCCTCCTCCTCCTCCTCCTCCTCCTCCTTCTTCTTTCTTCTTCTCCTTCTCCTTCTCCTCCTTCTCCTTCTCCTTCTCCTTCATCTTCCTTCTTTCTCCTTCTCCTTCTCCTTCTCCTTCTCCTTCTCCTTCTCCTTCTTCTTCTTCTTCTTCTTCTTCTTCTTCTTCCTCGCTCGCTCTCTCTCTCTCAGGCAGGTCTTGAACGCCTGACCTCAGGCGATCTGCCCGCCTTGGCCTCTCAAAGTGCTGGGATTACAAGCATGAGCCACCGCGCCCGCCAAATCATTATATTTTCTAAGCAAGCTAATTTAAGAAAAATACTACTCAATAACAGCATAGGTGGTCCCAAATAGGGTACGAATCATCAGGGTGGTGCCAAAGTAACTGACTTGGGAACAGTGTCCTTCCACCTGCCTTTCCTCTTTTTCCTCTGATCTGGCTCCACACTGCCGCTGGAGTGACCTTTATAAAACACAGATTTCTTGTCACTCAGTTATACTCACCATAAAGTCCACACTCCTGAGCTCAGCCTCCCCTTGGTGGTCCAACACTTCCCTTACTGCTCACTCCCAAGCACTGTCCCCCCATTCCCTGCTCCTCTCCTCCATGCTTAGCCCACTCCACTCAACTTTCAGACTGGCTCATTTCCTCCAGGTGGCCTTCCCAACTCTCTAGGCTGGGCAAGGTGTCCTGTGGGATCCACAGCGCCTTCTGCATTACCCATCACCATGTTTGTCTTTCCTGTTTGTGTCTGTCTCCACCAAGTGTGAGCTTTTCCAGAGAGGGCAGGGATTGCACCACCTTCATTTTATGTTCCTGATGCCTGGTATATACATAGAAAATAACCAGCAAACGTCTACTGAATGGACCCAGTCCTCTGCAGGCACGCATTCTGCCCTCAGTCTCCTCCCTTCTGTAGTGTAGCTGGGGCTCTTTTAAATGACCCTCCCGTTGCAGAAGATGAAAGCCCTTGAGCCTAATACATGGTAGGCACAAAATAAATAGGGGATGAATGAAGAAATTTCAAATCATAAAGCCAAAAACAAGAACAGGAAAGGCCTGAGGTTATTAAACCATAGCTGTAGTAATTAAAAACATTGGGTCTATTTTGTCAATTTGAATATGGGATTGTTTAGTTTGTCTCTAATAGCTCTCTAAAACAGAAATGCAAGTCTCTATCTATGACCTGTTGCCATTAACCCTGTTTATTTCATTTTATTTTATCTGAGACAGGGTCTCGCTCTGTTGCCTAGGCTGGAGTACAGTGGCACCATCACAGCTCGCTGCAGCCTTGAATTCCCAGGCTCAAGTGATTCTCCCACCTCAGCCTCCTGAGTACCTGGGGCTACACGTGCACACCATACTCGGCTAGTGTGTGTGTGTGTGTTTGTGTGTGTTTTGTAGAGACAGGGTCTCACCATATTGCCCTGGCTGGTCTCGAACTCTTGGGCTCAAACGATCCTCCCACCTCAGCCTCCCAAAGTGCTGGGATTATAGGTGTGAGCCACCACGCCTGGCCTATCCTCTTCATTTTTAAGTTCTTTACTATTTGTTTAAATTATAAAAGCAATATGTGCATATAGTTATTTAAGGAAAAAAAAAAAAGCCGGGTGTGGTGGCTCATGCCTGTAATCCCAGAGCTTTGGGAGGCTGATGCAAGTGGATCACCTGAGGTCAGGGGTTTGAGACCAGCCTGGCCAACATGGGGAAACCCCATCTCTAACAAAAATACAAAACTTAGCTGGGCATGGTGGTGGGGACCTGTATTTCCAGCTACTCGGGAGGCTGAGGCAGGAGAATCACTTGAACCTAGGAGGCAGAGGTTGCAGTGAGCCAAGATCGTGCCATTGCACTCCAGCCTAGGTGACAGAACAAGACCCCATCTCAAAAAGAAAAAAGATAGAAAGGGATTAGGAAAGGGACAAAGAAAGGGAGAAAGGAAGAAATTGAAGCTCTGCAGAAAGATACAGAATATAGTCCCTGGCCTCCCCCATCCCTAGCTCCTCGTCCTCGAGATAACCACTGTGAACCATTTGTGTTTATCTTTCCAGATATCTTCTGTCTGTACAAGCACTCACATGCTTTATTTTCTTAGACAAATGGGATTCGGACTGCACAATCTTCCACAGCTTTCTTGTTTTTCCTTTCTATGGTTTAACATTTTCCACATCAGCACATAGAAATCCAGTACACTTTTAAAAAATGGCTGTCTAGTGTTTCTTTGAATGGCCATATAATAACTAGAATGTATTGGTGAACAATTAGGATTTTTTCCCCTAGCTTTTGTTAATTACAAACATTCACAATAACACATTCCTCTAACTACATTTTTGCACACTTGATCAGGTATTGCCATAGGATAAATTCCTAGAATCGGAGTTACTGAGAAAAGGGAATGCACGGCTGCCATTTCGTTTTTTGTTTGTTTGTTTTTTGAGATGGAGTTTGGCTCTTGTTGCCCAGGCTAGAATGCAGTGGTGCGATCTTGGCTTACTGCAACCTCCACGCCCTGGGTTCAAGTGATTCTCAGGCCTCAGTCTCCAGAATAGCTGGGATTACAGGCACCTGCCACCACACCCAGCTAATTTTTGTATTATTAGTAGAGACGGGGTTTTGCTATGTTAGCCAGGCTGGTCTTGCACTCCTGACCTCAGGTGATCCACCCATCTCAGCCTCCCAAAGTGCTGGGATTACAGGCATGAGCCACTGCCACCGCGCCTGGCCTACAGCTGCCATTTTACTGGTTCTTGCCAGATTGTTTTCCAAAAGGCTGCTCTCATTTAGACTCCTACAGAGTATCAGACTGCCTACCATGCCACACCCTAGACAACCATGGGAACCATCGAAGTTTGCTTGGCTAGCCTATTAGTTGAAAAATGGCATCTCATTGTTTTGATTTGCTTTTTTTAAAGTTGTGAGTGAGGCTTTTCCATCTTTTTATTTGTTTGGCAATAAACTTTT